TGAACATTGCACAGGAAAGAGGAAGTACAAATCCATAGGACTGACACAATCTTTGAAAACAAATGACTGTTTAGGAATGGTTCATACCCAGTTATGAAGGAATATTTTTTTCTAATTCACCTCCAACTACCTAGTTTATTTTGTAATTACTAGAATAATGACTGGTATCTTGTCATTCACATTGCCTTTCCACCATCACCAAAAATAGGTACATTTGACAATTTCTTTTTGTGACATTGTAACAGATGTGATTTAGCATTGCATTGATATGCTATACAATAGTATGTTTACAGCAAAACCATATCTATGATTCAGCTAACATCTAAGGAGACAGCACGGCCTGTTATGGCTCATTCTTGTTTGTGACCGCCTTTCTCTACTACATTAGAAACAATCAGGAGTAGGGGCTTTGCTTTATTCATAGCTATCTGTTAGCATGAAACACTGGTCTAGAAAACTTCAGGGAACATAGTGAGTACTCAGTATTTGGTGAATGGGCAAATAACTAAACAAAATACATTGTTCAAAGTTTGGAACAGAATGCTGATGTCAAAATAATCCTTCAAATAGCAAGCTTATACAAGGATTTCTCGAATGTTCAGAGGGTGAGCTGCTTTTTTAGAGTCCTAATTTCTCTCTTTTTTTTTTAAAATCCTGAAATAGTTCCTAGTTTGTATTTAAAGCACATTCCTTTAAAGACTAGACTTTTCTAAGCAACTATTCCTGGAAAGATTAACAGAGGTAAGAAAAATATTTGAAGTCTTACTTGAACTTTGAAAACCAACTCTCAGTATTTAAAAAAGACATTAATCATGATCATTAATCAATAGAATGGAATGTTCACAGAACACTTAGAATAAATGTTTGCTGAAGCAAAAAGTCAGAAGAGAAAAGGAAGCCATAGTTGCCTAAGGCTGAAGGCAAATTCTTTTGCTTCTGATTAAAAAACTAAAGTCATTGGAAAAGTGCAATTCACCAGAGGGAAACATTACCATACTCCTTAGAAAATACCGCAAGGTCAGCAGGATCTCTGCATTTTTTTCTGTACTAGTCATCGTTGAAAAACGAGTTTCTTACAAGCCTGAGTTAGAAATTATGCTTAGAATAAATTACTCAATACTGAGGATTAGAAAAGCATTTTTATTTCCTTTGCTACTTGCCAATGAGTTACATATTTGGGTTTTGTGCTTTTCAAACTTTTTAAAATAGTTCTAATGTCAGCGATCTTTGATTTGTTCACTCCTGCTAGATCTTCTGATTTCCATTCTTATTTGAACTTCTGAGGATTACTTCTAAGCAATAATAAATATTTCTAACATAATTTTAACAAATGTCTAAAGGATACAGTTTTTCTTTGAAGTAATTTAGTTGAGTATAAAGGATCACTGAGTTAAACAATTCCCACATGGAGTACCTTTGGAAATCAGTGTGAAATCTGTAAGTTAAAAAACTCGTAAGAAAAAAAATGAGGATCAACTGGGTTTTTGGGGACCTGACCTCTTTTTTGCATTAGGTCTCAGAAGCCCTGGTGACATAGTTGAGGTGTTAAAGCAAAAGTAAGCAATTCAAATTCACCAGATGCTCCATGGGAAAACAGATGGGCAGTCAACCTGCAAAGAGTTCAAGCCATGGAGTAATCAGGCGAAGAACTGTCATTAATTGGAAGAGACTGTAGTAGTTTGTTGTTTGTGTTTTTAAAAATTGTCTTTTGGTCCCAAGTTATTCTGCACTTTAGAATTTTCAGGCCTTGGGAAGTGTATTTTAGTTTTGTCTTGTGTTAAAGATGTAGCTAGCAGGAACAGGGTAATTTTTGTTTGTTCTCTCTCCAAATCACCTACTCTTGGCTCAACTGTTGCAATAGTTGGGCCCTGAGCCACTGTGATGGTTAATATTGTGTGGCTGCACAGTCATGGCCATCAGTATACATGGTATAATGGAGTGGCTGGGTCCATAGGGAATTGCACTGCTAAATCAAAGTCCCTCTACAGCAATTTAAAGCCATCTGTAGCTCAGAGAGAAAGATGGACAATCTCCTCTCCTAAGATTTACAGCCTTTGAAAATCTACTGCAAAGTCAGCTGAGTCAGTTGACTCACAGCAATTAGAAGTTAATGAGGCAAGATTGGAAGATCATGTCTAAAGTTATGATCATTTTGATCTGATTAAAGTCAAGTCTTCTGAAGGGTATAGCCTGCAGTGATTGGGGGAGGAAAGCACTAGATTTTCATCCTACTACTCAGCTTGTTACCCACAGGGGACAGTGTTTGGTGGAGCTTAAAACAAGCTTGGAAGCAGGAGTGGCATCCACTTCTGAAATGGCTTGCCTCTGGAAACTCTATGAATGTGGAGAAATGATGAAAGTTTACAAGTGTTCAGGTCTTTCTTTCATAGGGTTGCTATGAGTCGTCTCCAACTCGACAGCAAAGAAAAAAAGAACTTAGTTTGTGGCCCTCCAGACTTGAATCAGTGGGCTGCCATGTTTGCAGACCTTGAAATTGTCAGTCTTCAAATCTTGTGACACAGCTATACCACATAACTAAAACGTTTGACTAAAACCAGCCTCTAAAGCCAGCAGCCTGAGATTCTGCCTGCTTGCTGACGGCTTGGACTCCACAAATGCTCTCTTGAGATCTGACCTACAGACTTGGGACCTGCCAACTTTTACAAGCATGTGAGCCATTTCCTTGAAACAAAAGTCTTTATAAAGTTTCATTTCTATAAAGTGCATCCTAAGGCATCCTTTTATATCATTAGCCACTATGAGATAGAACATATGTTGCAAGATGGATGGCTGAATTAGAGACTAGGACAGAAATAAAATCTTGGCTCACATCAGGATTAAGCCAGTGACCTGTGGCCATATGATACTGTTTCAATATTTGAGTTTAAACAATTTCAATTAAGTTGTATAATTGTAGGCACTATTTGTTCAAAGAATGAAAACGTTTTTTTTTCTTAAATACATTAATACTTCTTTCAAAAACTTAAAACTCTAAACCCCAAAGACTACTCAGAAAATCTCACTGGACTCAAGTCAGAAGCAATGCACAGCTGACCCTTCCTTCAGTGGGGTTTCAGAGGCTGTGACTTTCATGGGAAGAGACTGACTCTATTTCTCCTATGGAGCTGTTGGTGGATTTGAAATGCTTGTTTCTGGGTTGGCAGCATGACTCCTTACCCACTAGGCTATCTCACTAGGCTATCAGAGGTACCAGGGTGGTGGGGCCCAATTCAGTAGTCATCTCTATAAAAGAACAAAACACAACAGCTCAATTGGGAAGCACATAATAAAAGATAGATCACATTTAGACAAAGACATGGTTACTTTTTTTATTTGAAGAAAAGAAAAAGTATGTTTTAATAAATACTGCAGAATCATTGACCAAACAAACATACAAAGTGACTTCAACAACTGGGGAGGTGGGGGAGAAGGCAACTAAAGTCTTGTTTGGTAACAGTTATAACTTATTTTCTTTTTACAATATTTAAATACAGAAAGCACTTGCCAGCTATTTTGTAATACTGCCCAAAGCATAATGCTGCATCAAAGCATGTTATGTTGGTAAAACATCTGTATTTCATGGGAAATGACTGGAATGGCACTTTCTTGCAGAGACAAAACAAAGTGCTTGTAAGACAGAACTGAGTTTTGTGATCATCTTAGTCTTCTCTCCTGACACAATGTAATGGGAGCACAGCTTTAACACTTCAAAAATGAAGCATTATCAGTGGAAAGAAAGCTCGTTTTCAACAAGCGCCAACAGGTCAGATCTGGAATCTTCTCTGGAAGAAGGTCTAGAAAGAACTGGTCAAAAATACCTGTAAACTATTTTAAATGCTGATTATTGTATATAACCACAGCAGTCAAGTATTAAATGCAGGCCTTGGCTGAAATCTGGGAAGGTCAAGCAGTCACTGTCTAGAAATGTCCTTCTACTGTCAGGACTGACAACGTACCACTTTCCTGTAGGGATTCTCTAAAGCTTTTGTAGGTTAGGTCCTTCTCTTACGGATGCTCATTTAAAGAACGTGAAACCAACAGGTGCTCAGATGCTGCCAATTTTAGTGCTTCATCTCAAATGCAATGTCTAACGGGCCTTTTGCTTTGTACTTTTAAATCCACACTGTTTTACTCACAAACTGTGCTTTCTGCTACTATTTCTTCATTATCTCTTCTGCTGAAAACAGTACCTACATCTTTTTTCCACCTTGGACCATTCTATGACATCAAACCAAAACACCCTTCATCTGACTTGGCAACTTTATCAACAATGGAAAAAAAAATCCAACAACAATAAAAAAAACCCCAACCAAAAAACACACACTCTTCTAAACAGAGCACAAGATATTACATTGAGCAATTTACCACTTTTTAATGACAGTCACAATGATGAACAAACCATCAAACTGAATAAAAATGGACACTTTTTTTTTTAATTTGATCTATGCAATCTTTGTAGTGCTGGACTGCATATCTTGCAAGACTGCAAAACACCTTTCTTTAGAACCATCTTGCTCAGCTATCTTCAGGAAGGCCAGATTTCAAAGCCTCAGAAAGTTTTTCCTCTGGATACCCCATGGGTCCTGATACAATTTCCATTTTAATGATGAGCTGGGAGGAAATTAGATCACATCCTCTAGAAAACTAAACGCTAATGTCACAGTGCCAGTTCCCCAGTGAGGACGGTATATTAATATATATATATATATTTTTTTTTTGTAAAGGAAATTAAAACATTTTAAAATTAAATCAAAGTAGAGATCCATGAATAGACTGTAACAAAGAAAAACGCAAGCACCATTCAGAGCGTAATTTATCTTCTCGGAGGTACTCGCTTTCCTCTATCAACCCCAGCTCATTTCCATCTCTCAGGTTTTTTTGGCATATTTTTCAAGTCACATTTCAAAACTCTCCAAGGTGTTCAACTTCCCACCACTTGGTCTACATGCCGAAGCTAAGGACAGGATTCCAAAACTGTGGGCATCCTCTCAAATGCCTGACGCCTCCAGTCTATGGGACTTGGCGGTACACTTCGTTCAGATGTCACCTTTTCTCGCTCTGTTGGTGGTGGTTTTGTTTTTTTTTTTTACATTAGATTCCCTTGTCCTCATGAGAGATAACGGAAGGTTCACATGACAGTGCAGCTCTTGGCTTTGTCCTTTCGTAAGTCCGTGGCAACTGCCGAGAGTTCTGGTCTGCTGGGCATGTGTGAAATCCGCTTTGTGGCCCTCTGTGATTTGTTCCGCTTAACGTTCTTATTTGTCTTGTTTACACATGCCAAGGTGGCAACGTGAAAAATGTCTCTGACGCTATTTTCAGACTGTAAAGACGAGCATTCAATGTAAGTAGCAGCTCCAATCTGTTTGGCCATATTGGCTCCCTGAAAAGCAAAAGAAGGGATTTTAGTCAACAATAGATCTTTGGGGAAAGTTGTAACATGTCCCTTTAACAGTGCAAAATAATAATAAAAACTCATTGCCATCGAGTAAGAACTAACTCATGGCTGACCTTCCAGTGGGTTTTCAGAAGTTGTAAATTGTAGGAGAGGAGGTTATCATTTTAAAACTTGCAATCATATTCTAAAGGAAGTTCACCCTGGAACGTCACTGCTATGTGCCATCGAGTTGCTTGTGATTCATAGTGACCCTATGTACAACATTCTGAATCCTGCTTTATCCCGTGCCAATCTTACTGTCTCTGACACACCTTCCCCCATTAACCCAGTCACTGAATCAATCCATCTCATCAAGGAAAGCAACACTTTACTATTTATCATTTAAATCCTGATGATACTTTGTCTTATACGTCACAAAAAGCTGATTATTTACACAGTAAAATGGAGCAACTCTTTACTAGGCCACTACAATGCCTTAGAAAACAATAATGTATCAAAAAATGATTATAATGTATTGGCTACATTTTTCAAGTGTTGCTGTCAAATCCACATATTTTTAAATTGAATGGCCTTACTAATACCTTCCTAAATATTTACAGTCAAGGACCTAAGAAAAGATGCTAAATAATCATTCAATAGATCATTCTTGATTCCTCTTAGGTGCTGAAGGTTAATCTAGTGCCACTAGGTTGTCAATAAATGAAAGACTGATCACCAATACTTAGTATGGGGTAATTGAGAGAAGCTTCTATATCTTCACGATCAACTCTAACCCAGAGTAACCAGAGGCACAAGTCTTCCAGATCAAAGCAAAGGAGAAAATTACCAGCAAATCTTACAGCTGAATTAGTCACTGAAGACCAGGAATATAAATTACAAATTTTCTATATGGCTCTGGCATGGAGATGTGGCTGTTAACATCCCAGCGCATCATGGGACACTCAAGTTCTCTCTTCTTGAGCAGAAATGGCACTCAAGGCTAGTCCCTAAGTTGCTGCTGTTTTTTTAAACAAATGTAAAGCATAGAGTTTAGAATCAGTTTTAACTTTTACGTGATTATGTCTTAGGATCCAAATACTAAGAGGATAAGCATAATTCCTAAATCTGGGTAATAAGATACATAAAAATAAGCATATAAGCAGAAAGGAAATTATTTAAAGAATGAACTTTTTGTTAATTAGATATTTAAGACAGGATTTAAAATGATGAATAGTAAATTAAAAGTGCTGCTATGGTAGCTTAGTTGCAAGAAGCCGTGTTGCAATCCCTAAGGCATATGGTTCGAGGCCACCAGCTGCTCTAGGGGAGAAGGATGGACAATCTCCTCCCTTGTGATTAACTGCCTCTGAAACCCTCCAGAGGGTCAGCTATGAGTTGGTTCTGACTCAATGATACACAACAACATTCCAACATGAACTTCCTTTAGAATATGGCTTTAAGAGCATGAGCTTCTGAAATGTATTACTTCTCTTTCTAAACACTTAAAAAAATGAATTGTCTTCCCCTCCCTAGTATTTTATTATGCAGTCAACTGTAAAATAAAATTAGCTGCTTAATTTTGGTAACATTCCTTCTTAAATCTAGTATTTAATTTTAAACCAAGGTGGACTTGCAGAGATACACAAGGTAGCTTTTGAACAACTCTTTCTGTAACTCAGCAATGAACTGCTGTTTTTGTTGTTATACGCCATCAAGTCTCCTGCAGTAATGAAATGGCATGTGATTATTCGCCTGAATGAGACAGCATTTCACATTTTATATCACATCTGCAAAAGTTAGTCATAGGGAGCTCTGGTAGACTAGTGGTAAGAAGCTTTGCTGTAATTGCAAAGGCATTTGGTTCGAATCCACCACTGCTCTGTGGGAGAAGGATGGACAGTCAACAACAGCAATTTACTCATGAACACATATGAAGTCTTCTGCAGTGAGCCACTGAAAAGTACTGGAAGCTTTGGACAGAGTGCAATATTCAAATATCATCCTATCAGCCATACCTTGTCCCTGGTAGGGAAGTTCTGGTGGCCTAGTCCCTAGGGACTTGCTCTGCTAACCCTAAGGCCTCTTTGGGGCAATCTTCTCCTCTGTGAATTATACCTTGGAAAGCCAATGGAGGGTTGATGGCAATGAATGAATGAATGGGGTTTTCATCCCTGGATTACTTAGTGCTCACTCTGCTGCTTTAAGTTATTTGTGCTCAGGACTTAAAGTGCTGAGCTGTTCACTTCGGAGACACAAGCCCAGAACCACGAGCATCCTTCCAGATGGTCAGAAGCTGGAGAGAGCTCTGGTGCCCTAGTGGTAAGAAGCTGAACTGCAATTTTGTAGGCACGAGGTATCAATCTACCAGCTGTTACACGGAAGAAGGGTGGGCAATCTCCCATGCGACTAACTCTCTGAAAACCTGCTAGAGAGAGAGTCAGCTATGGGTCATTTCCAACTTGATGGCAAACAACAACAACTACAACTCCTTAGTGAGGGAGCTCTGGTGCCTAGTGGTAAAAAGCTGTACAACAATCCCAACAATCCTAAATGTACATGGTTTGGATCCACCAGCTGCTTTGCACGAGACGGATGAGCAATCTCCTCCCATGCTATGAACTGCCTCTGAAAACCCAGCTAGAGGGTTGGTTCCAACTCTGTGGTGCACAACAAAAACTCCTTTGTAACAAATCATTTACCTAGAGTTGAGTTTACTATTTGTTGATTCCATCAAGAAATTTCCACTTGATTCACTACAAGGGATATTTCTCTCATTTTTTAAAATCCAAATGTGCACAATGACTAGATACATACCTGGTCATATGACACTGGTGTCTGCCTGTGATTGGAGAGCTCTACTAATGTACTAACATCGGTCCGGAGATCAGACTTGCAGCCAACCAACAGCATTTTGGTATTGGGACAAAATTCCTGGATTTCACCTTTCCACTATAGAAGAAGAAAAAAATAGGGTTGAAAATTAACAAAGTGCTAGCATTTATATGATGAAGACACAAATCTGTATTTGTCTTCTAAGGAGACAGTAAATTTTATATCTTGTTAATAGGAATCTGAAAACATGAATGCCTGTTATTATCTATTCTCCATCTCTGAGACTTATCTGTCCACAGTGCAAGAGACTTGCTGTGTATTGTCAGAAGGTCCTTTCAATAATTTCTTAATTATTGGGGTATCTCTGAAAGCAATACCGCCCTAGGAATAATTACACATCACAAGGAGTGATGACATCTTCAGCTATGTGGAGTATATTACTTCACAGTATGTGAGGCTGAGAATTAGGCAGAGCCAAAAAAGCCAGGTATGTTCTTAGTGATCCCATCAACAAAGACAGATGACCATCATGTCCTGGGATCTACCAGGAGGCAGATTTAATGAGTAAGAACCACTGGCCTACAAGAAGCTTCTATTTGAATGGCTAAATCACTATAGACTAATGATGATATCTACTAAAAGAAAAAAAGAAATCATCTCAAAGGCTATTAGGAAGGCATACTAGCCTGGCTTTAGTAACTCATATGCCCCATGTTAGAGTTACATAAGGTAGATGTTTCAATTTAGTCCAGCTTAGCCAGAAAGAAGTGTTGGAGCCTCCAGAAATACACCAAGAAAGAACCACAATTTTTCACTAAAGAACAAATGGATAAATTTTTGTGGTTCTGTGTCCTCAAGCCTGAGATCCCATCAGATGCAGAAAGATCTCTGGCTGTGGGGAAGAGGAAATTAATAGGGCTGACACGAGGATATGGTGCTTGACCTCACCCATATTCACCAAAAGATATTAAACTCACTATTAAATACTGTGGTGGTCACGTGTGGCTGCCATGAGTCAAAACTGATTCAATGGCAATAGATCTATTGGTACTTTCCAGAACAGTCCCTGGGTAGTGCAAGTGGTTAACATGGTCACTGGTAACCTAAAGGATAGAGGTTCAAGTCTACCCAGAAGTACCTGGGAAGAAAGGTTTGACAATCTGTTTAAAAAAAAACAAGTAGCCACTGAAAACCCAGTGCAGGACAGTTTGACTGACTCAGATGAAATTGCCTACCATAAGTGGAACCTGATTACTGGAAAATAAGGTCTTCCTGGAAGACATTCACAGAATAGGGAGGGTTGAAATGCCATATATATTAAGTACAGAACTGGAGAAGACAGTTAAGATGACACCCTGCAGGAATATTCTACAAGTTCAGCAGAGGAGACATTCCCAGAGTTACATGTTCGTGGACAAAGCACACACGGACTGAAGTCAGTAACACATTTTCCAAAGAGCCTAATTTGCTCCCTGAGTTCATTTTTTCCTTTCATCCTTTCTTTCCTTCCAGAATTACTGAGAAGCATCTACACATACCAGGCAGTCCTGGAGTTAGAAATGGAAGGTGAATGGCGGGGGGAAAGCAGAATAAGAAGCCTTTCCTGTGTTAAGTCACTCTAACCTCTTTGATATCCAAGGACTTAAAAGGATTCAATTAATCAAGACGAACCATAACAGGAGTTATCATGAGCCTTAAACCTCGCACGATGTGAAGCACACTCATTAATATCTGTAAGGCCAACATCACTATTCATTTGGTCTGAGAAGACAAAAGCAAATCAAATAGGAGCAAGGCTTTTCACTATAAATTATGCATAACCTGATACTACATCAAGCAAAAAACTCTGGTAAATAAGCAATCTCTTTTATCTACAGACAAGAACTAGGCATGCTGTTATGTCGCTCTTCAGCTTTTAATAGCTTTGGCCTCCCTCTCCATGTTTGGCAATTGTTTACAAGCACTGAAGGCAGGAGAGGTGTACGCCTGCCCGAGTCTAACCAGCATCAGCATGATTTGTGTTAGACACACAACACTACTCAAAATTAAAAGGCGTTGCAAGGCAAAACAGATCTTTTGATGTGACAAAATTCCTATTCCATTTAACTAGTTATTATTTATGGTGTTGACTAAAAACATTTTTGAAGGTTTACCTTCAAATGCTAATTTCATTGTGACACAGAGACAAGTAGTCACAGGTGATGGGAAAATACACACTAATGAGAACACACAAGGTACACTCAAAATTAAAACCAAATGGGGAAAGGAAAAACAAACCCAGGCCAACCACAAGGATATTTCTCGTGCAGACATTCCAACTGGGCCCTGATGTGGTCATGCGGGTTACCACTCAGCTCAGCCCTGATGTGGTCATGCGGATTACCACTCAGCTCAGCCCTCTGTTCTCAACCACATCCTCTGTCTACATCTTACTGTAAGGAAAAGGGGGGGGGGGGTTCTAGGAAAGTCAGCTTCCCCCATGCCACAGCACTTAGGCCAGCACATACAGTATAGTTAATAGCTGATAAATGGTAATCCAATCCATGACTAAAGCATGGCCTCTCTGACTACTTCTATGACTACCCTGCCAATCAATTCTCCTCTCTCCTAGGACCGGTGACCAACCCTGTAATAGGACCCTCGTGTGAACCTCTGCCTGGTTTATTCCCCAGCTCTCCACCTAAACAATTTGGCTGAAGGTGGTCTTCAGAGGCCAGGATCATGTAATTTATAACATGCTTACTGCTACTGTAAGGAATGTCTGGTGACCTAGTGGCAAGAAGGCGGACTGCAATCCTGAAGGAGCGCAGTTCAAATCTAGATGCTCCACAGGAGAAAAGATGGACAATCTCTTCCTGTGCGATTGACTGCCTCTGAAAACTCACTGGAGGGTCAACTGCAAGGTGGTTCTGACTAAATGGTACACAACAACAACAACAGCTGCTATTAGTATCTGCCTTATACTTATTCAAAATTCATGTTGTCTAACACCTGCAAACACACCCTTACTTCTCCTGTATTTGCTCCTGTTTCTAATGAAACTTTCTTAATGTAACACAGCTGTCTATGTTAAAATAGTGATTAGTGGGTTCAACAGTTGAATTAGGGTCCAATACAATCACAGTGGAATCTGTTGCATGAATGAAAGAATAATTGACTAAAAGAAGGAAGGGAGGGAGAGAAGAAGGTAAGGGAGGAGAGAAAAAAAGCAAGGCGGAAAGGTGCAAGAGTGGGAGAAGGAGAAAGACATACACACAAGCAGCCAAAAGAACTGTGAGCTGCATTACTGCCCCTCCAAGAACACATGTGAAAGCTCTACAAGTGTGTTTTGAGTCATAGCTTTATGAGGTAAAATTTATCACAGGCTCATCATCAAAACTATGGATAGGTACGAGAGGAATCCTTGCTTTGGCATGGGCTGGTTTTCTTCAGTACTTACACCACAAAATCAAAGGCTGGGAATTACTCAGAGGCCCTGAGCTGCCCAGGCAGCCAGGTTTCTATTTCATACAGAGTAGTGCCACCATCCCCCAGTACTTGCCTTTTTCAGGACACTGTCCAGAGTCTCTGGCCTACTAATGTCAAAGCAAATCAGCACAGCATCGGAATCCGGGTAGGAGAGGGGCCTGACATTGTCGTAGTAAGGAGAACCTGGGAAGAAAGAAAACAACAGAGACATGAGTTTTCAGAGGCAAATCTCCTTCACCTGTCATGCATTAACTCTGTCTGCCCTTTCAAGCTAAATCGCTTGAATGCCACATCACAGCCCCACCTCTGCTCCCCTTAATCCTTATAAAAGAATGAGAACAAACAAAGGCCAGATCAGTAATCCCTTTCTTTCAACCAGGAGAATAAGTAAATCTCCACTGTATCTGACCTGAATTCAAGGGGAGGGGACAGGATCTGAAGTTGAAATCTGCAAGGTTCAAAGACCAGAACTCAAAAAAGTGCCCAGTGAAGTAGCCTGGAGACCCCAGACTTTGAGCATAAATTCATCCCCACCACAGAATGGGCGGGAAAGTAGCTTTAGGCCTCTTGTTGCCAGCTTCTTCATTCATAAACTACGAGGCGGATAGTATCTCTTCCATTCACTCATAGATGACCACTTTATCTCCCTAGTGTTAAAACAAAACCAAACCCAGACGATGCCTGGAATGTAATAAAGGCTTAAGTAAGTATTAACTGGTTATTACTACTGCGTTGTTACTGAGGAAAGCTGAGTGGTAGCAAGCAAAACCTGAGTTACTTCCAGGGAACAGAGATCAAAATTAAAGACAGCTCTGGTGACACAGTCTGCATGCAGAGTAGTGCTGCCAACTCAAAGAGGGGAGGCTGGAGCCCACCAGCCACTCCAAGGAAAAAACGACCGGCAATCTGTTCCCGTGCAATGTACAGCCTCTTAAAACCTGCTGGTGCACTACTTCTGACTCTAAAGATGAGTTGAGTTGACTCTCCCATAGCGAAGTGTGAGTGAGTGGCGGAGGAAGAGAATGGCCTACTTCAGCCACACAAAGACAGCCCCTGCAAACCACATCAGGCTACTGGCCCTGCCTCCAAGCTACAGGTTTGAATAAGCTATTGACCTGTGAGCTTGCTTACTAAAACTTAGCCTCAAACCTACAGACTTTCTTCCTGTTACAAGCAAAGAATGTAGTAAATGCCATATTACAGCATGTCACTTTTCCACAGTGAAAAAGCTCTTGACAATGACAGCAGATCAAGGTCCCCCTCAGAAGTTCAGATTTTTAAAAAGCTGGCTGTCGAGTTGACTCACAGGGACCCCACGTGTGCCAAAGCAGAAGAGTCCTCCTAAACTTTACCACAGCTCACCTTCCTTCTGAGGTGGGACTGTAAACGCCAACCTTTCAGTTAATTGGTTAATTGGTGAATTGTATTAACCATTCGAGATTCCCAAGGTTCAAATTACCAGCCAATTGTTCCAACCACAGAAGCCTCTAGTCCTTCAAGAAAGTCCTTCTGTTTATTTAAGAATGCAGAAAGATGAGCAAATTACATGAAGTCAGTTGTTATAAAATGGTGTGGATACATATTTAAATCAACCTGCCAACAGCTACTTTTTACGTTTTTGTTTTCAATATACTTGTATTTTACAAGAGAGCTCAGGTGGCCTAGGGGTAAAGAGTCATGCTGTCAACCCAAAGGTAGGTGGCTCTAATTCACTAGCTGCTCTTTAGTAGAAAGATGCACAATCTCCTGGCATGCCATTTAGGGCCTCTGAAAACTCAATGGAGGATCAGCTGTGAGTCAGTTCCAACTGGAGGGCACATAAACAAGAACAGTATTTCACAAGTATATCTGTATCTACTTTTTTAAAAAAATATCATTTCACTAGGCTAAGAAACAGATGGCTGGTATGTGACTCTAAAGAAGAGAAAGACAATCTCAACCACCTAAGTCTGTTTGAAATCTAATTTCATTTTGACATCACTTTCCCTTTCTAGAAGAAAAACATGACATGTTGTCCCCTGACAAATCAAAACCTGCACCGTCAAAGGCAGGAGGAGAAAAAGACTATAAAGCAGCTTTTAAAACAATCTCAAATATTTCCATCAAAACGAGAATTTTCAGAAGCCTGCTCTTGTGGCCTGAAGTTACTTTGTGTTAGGGTGAGGTGCCCCGAGCCAGGTTTTCTGGGTCCCTGAGAGTCACACTGGAACCCATGCCTAACACCACTGGTGCCTTCTTCCAGGGCAGAGTGACAGCTCCAGGCCAGGTGTGCTGGCAAATCAAGGGAAAGGAACAGGAAGGAAGTGTGAGCCAGGAGAGACAATGGCAGCCAGGCATTTTCCTGAAGTGAAGCAATTCTGTCTACATCTGGAAGCAGGGTCCCGAGGAAGCTGAGGCTGCCAAGTGAAAGATTACTTCCTTCAGGTTTGAGTGTTCGAAAGTCAAGTCATTTTCAGATATTAAGGTAAATTAAAATGAGGCTGTCTCTGCAAATGACAAGCTGCTGCTGTCTTTTCAGAATTCAAAGGACTCTAAGATGAAGAGAGTAATTCCTGAGTTCATCAATCTAAACATATCTGAGAGGAATCTGAAATGAGGTGACTTAAGGTATTTCGACAGCTTGGTATTTCTCTGCTAGTCTATTAAGTTTGGATTTGTGCAATTCTAGCCTTTCCTGTTTCTTCTATGTCTAAAATCCAACTTTTACACAGTGCCTGCTGTAAACATTTGGGAATGGCTGCCCAAACATGTACTAAGAGATCCTACGGGGAAATAGAAGAGGAAATCCAAACAGGACCTGAGCAGTCACACAGCTGACAAGAAAGGACCAGATTCTAAAGCCAGCAAGTCGGAGAACCCCAACAACTGGGACTGTTGGGTCCCTGGGCCCACCTCAGTGTCTGCCTTCTTGAAATCCCTCACATTAGGCAAGCCAACTCTCTGTGGCTACTCTACCTTTTCAACCACACCAGCAAGCACTTCCCAGGCTGGGAGTACTTACAACTCATTCAGATCAAAGGCAGGTTTTTAAAGGTGTTAAAATATTGAAAAGTGGGGTAACTAGGAAAATCTAGAGAGGAGGTTTCAACCTTTAGGTGACTGCCACGTGGCAACAGAGCACTCCCCTCCCTTTGTGTGTGGGCTCCCCTCCCCCACCCACTTCAGGCCACAAAGGAGGTGTGGCTTTGTCTTCAGCCCTCTGTCAAGCTGCAGACCCCTGTTTACCAGAAGCCAGGGAGCTGGCTCCTCCACACTAGGCTTAGCCTGTCTGTATTCAAACAGCTGCAGAATGCAGGCTTTGGCCCGCTTTTAAAATGAAACGGATTCTGCAAGTTTAAACAGATTTTTATGGAAATTTGTTTCACTTGGATTTACTGTTTTGAATGAAAATCCACATGCAGTGTCAAAGAAGATGAGAAACAAGCCACTTTGCTTGTTGACAGAAAGAGGTATTTTTAATAAGACCTAATGAGGAGTAACATTTTGAGCCAGTCCTATTACTTTTGCAAGGGAAAGAATGCTGCTTGTAGATCATCAACAGCATCCAAAGGCAGCAATAAAACCCATCTCCATCTTTATGAATTATATTCATGATGCACCTACCCACTAACTGCACAAGTACATCTTCACAAAGATGCTCCTGATAGGTTAGCTCAAACTTTTTGAGGGCTTGTAAAAAAAAAACAAACCAAAAAAACAAACAAACCAGAAACCAAAACAAAACAAAAAACCCTACTTTTTCCCCTGTAGAAATGGAACTCTTCTACTAGGAAAAGTCTAACAATTTATCAGCTACACAAATCCTTCAGAACCCCAAATCCTGTGGAATGTCCCAGTGTTTACCCTGTTAAAGTACACAGAATTCTTCCCTCTTCGTGCCTGTAATGCTCAAACCCCTGCACAAAGGCAGGCCAAGTAGGAGGAATACACGGTGTGATCACAGGCCTGTATGGGTTAGCTCTCAAGCCCAGGAAAAAGCCAGGAATTCCAGGAATGTGCCTGTGGAATGAGAAGCAGTATGGGAAGGCAGAAGCTGCACTGAAATGAGGAGAAGAAAGTAAGCCTATAAACAGGAACACTAGGTGCCCCTAATCCCTCTCTTCTTCCAGGAAAGTCTCAAAATGGCCTGTTGAGCTAAACAGCAACATGGGGGTGGGAGGGAGAAAACTGACTTCTGGGGTTTTTCCCCCCCTCAAAATCACCTTGAAAACTTTCTTAAGTAGCTACAAAACTAAAACCACCACATACAGAATGCTAAGCATTCCCCCACGAATGAACTTTTGAACTTTTAACTGCATTATTCTAGGTAAGTATATGCTATATTGTACGTATGTACATACAGTTTTGCAAATGAGATTCATTAAGTGTGGATCCTGAGCTTTCCTTGTAAAATAAAACTCAGAGTATGGAATATACTTCCTGCTAATGGGTACTCTTAGATGGAGCATCACATTTTATTTCTCTTACTCTGGACAAACTCCAAACACACAGCACTGGTCTGAGCCCTTTCTGACTGACTTGCCAGATTTTTAATGGGTAAACTCCATGAAACCCCACACTGTATAAAAACAACTATCCTACATGAACAAAAAGTGTATGCTCTAACACCACACATTTTAAGGGCTGTTTTCAGGTGTAGATTAATTAAAAGAAGTATATTTGAGGTCCTCTACTTCGGCAAACAGCAGCAAAGTTCAAAAGGCTTTTGATATTTCAGGTCTGTCCATCTTTGTCTTCAAGATCATTAATTCCGGATGAGAACAAGATTTCCAGCCTAGGAACAGTCACAGGGTGCCTCACCCAGAAACTAATTCTTCAGATGCATACCTGCCAGGTTAAGTCATCAATTCATGGAGCTAGAACACCATATATGTACATAATTAAATGTATACATATGATTCGTGCCCAAAAGGGAAGCTTTCTAGAACCTTTGGCAAAACCAGTTTGAATGCCGTCAGGCTTCATACAAGTCTGAGAACTGCAAACTTCTCTAGTTTGGTGTTTCATAAATTATCTTTTGAAGCTTAAACTGAAACAAACACTTTCCTTCCTCCATAAGAAACAATAAAAGTAGAATTACAGCATACCAAAAATTTGTATGCTTGGTAACAGTACCCCAATACATTAGCATGCCAAAATAGTGTGGTATTTTCAGTAACCACCAAAAGAACTTTTGTAACCAA